GATTATGGATCATGGTTTGAGACCCAATTGCTAATTAGGTGGTATTCTGGTACTGATAGCTCGAGGAGTTGCAAGGGCGGCAGCTAAGGATTTCTTGCAATGGACTTCAACAATGTGAGGTGAGTTACCTTCCAGTAGAAGTGGGTCTAAGGCCACAATGTCGGCCCACTAGTAGGAGTTGTTTGTTAGATGATTGTCTTTGTGATAACTGTATGGTATGCCACTATCTGTTATGCTTTATGCGCTAGTATGGTATGATGTCATGTGATAGTGGTAGTAGGGGGAATAGTCCCCGTATCCGGTCGAAATGACCAAAGGGTAGGTCGGGCACCCCGGTATGCCTGATAGGGGTAGGTTAAGTACCCCGACATGCTCAACAAGGTAGGTCGGGTAACCAGATATGCCTGACAGGGGTAGGTCGGGCACCCCGGTATGACTGACAGTATGTTATTTGTATGGTATGTGGTATGATGGGGGAACTCACTAAGCTTCGTGCTTACAGTTTACAGTTTTGGTTTCAGGTACTTCCGATAGCAAGGGGAAGAGCTCGGGATGATTGCGGTGCACACATAATTTGTTAGTCTGGGATGTTTTTACTCTGATATGTTAGACATATATTTATGATATTATGAGATACATGATCTATGTTTTATATGATGTTTGGGTAGTTATGGCTTTTATCAATGATTTTAAACGAAATTTTTGGACCGTATTTTTGGGATGTTTCAAGAGCATATTAGCTGTCCTTTCTGAGTTCTTGGAGTGTTATGAGTCATAAAAATGGTTACTTGATCGTTTCCTTAGAACCATGCAAGAGTTAAGTGGTTTTGAGTGTTGTGAAAGTAAGGATTTTGGAGATTTAGCCCTCTTTTGCCATGCAAAGGCTTAAAGGTTTTGACTTTATGGTTTAAGACATCATTTAAGGTTAAGATAAGTGTTTGGATGCTTTTATCTTAACAATTAAGAGCTTATTATGGACTTTTGAACCTCTGATGAGTACGCTGGGCGTACGTAGGAGGGTACACTTAGCGTAATGCGAGTTTCATGCATTGGAGACTTGTACATCGTGCCTTATCAGTCGGTACACGGGGCGTACGTTTGGAGTATGCAGGGCGTACTCCCCAGTATGTCTATTTTGGGCCTTTTTGGGTTTGGGCCATTGGAATTCTGACTTTGGGCCATGGATTGATTATGAGCTTTCTTGGAATTAGACTCATGATGGTTTTTGGTCCCAATTAGGAAGTTGAGCCATATTGGGCCTTGGGAGGCCATTTATGAATCGGGCTTTTTGAGCAATGGGTTGGGCCTTGGTTTTGGGCCAAGTAATAAAAAGGGTAAAATGATCTTTTAACCTGGTCATTAGGCAAGTAACTTAGATTCTTGATTATAGGTTGAGATCCAATTATTAATTGGATGTTATTTGATGATGCTAGCGCGCAGAGATTTCCGGATCAACGGTCCGAGCATTTATCTAAGATACTCAGCGGATTGAGGTGAGTTTTCCTCACTGTACTTACAGGTCGAAGGCACCAAGGCCGGCCCATTGGATTGATATCCTATTATACATTGATTTATGATATGCTAAGTATGGAATAGATCTATAAGATTATATAATACTTGCTAATATGTGTAGACCGGTGGATCTGTAGGACTACCTGTGATTTCTGGTTGCATGTTTATCCGTTTGTTGATTATGTTTGTTATCTATTATATGTCGACATATTGTGTTGGGTTGAGACTTTACTGCTTTGTGTGTGTGTAACATCCATAAAATTCAAGCCAATTTAAAACTTTTTTCAACCATTCAAAAACCAATAGTTATTACAAATTGTTTCCAAAATAGTTTCATGTCAAAGTATCCTAGAAACCAAATCATAAAAATATAAGGAGGTGCACGATCACGCTCTCGCTTTCCCGCGATCATCTGAGGTACCTGAAACAAAATCAACAACTGTAATCCCAAAGCTTAGTGAGTTTTTCTCACTATATCAACAGGGTCTAAGGCACCAAGGCTGACCCTTTATGGTTTGTATCCTGGTTATAGGATTACGTTATGTTAGTGATCTGTTATATCTGTATCCTAGTTATAGGATGATGCTATGTTAGTGATCTGTTAGATCGATATCCTGGTTGTAGGATGATGTTATGTTAGTGATCTGTTAGGTCGGTATCCTGGTTATATGATGATGCTATGTTAGTGATCTGTTTAGATCGGTATCCTGGTATATAGGATGATGTTATGAATAGTGATTTGTTAGATCTGTATGACTATCTGTACATGCTAGCTAGTGTATGATATTTATGTACTGATTGTTTGATTGGGGGTTGGGTTGAGGCGGTCCTGCTTTGTGCTTTATGCCAACATACCCAGGGCGGTCCGGATAGACTGCAGACCCGGTAAGGGCGTACTAGTCAGGCCGAAGGCCCGAAGAGCGGTCCGGATAGGCTGTAGGCCCGCGAGGCGGTCCAGACGTGCCGATGGCTCGAAGAGCGGTCCAGATAGGCTGATGGCCTTTGCGAGGCGGTCCATTCAGGCTGATGACCCAATATGAATGTTGTTTGTATGATATTGTTATGTTTTTTATGGCGTTGGTATTTTGGGGTAACTCATTAAGCTTCGGGCTTACAGTTGTTGATTTTGTTTCAGGTACCTTAGATGATTGCGGGAAGCGAGGGCGTGATCGTGCACCTCTTATATTTTTATGATTTGATTTATGGGATACTCTGACATGAAACTATTTTGGAAACAATTTGTAATAATTGTTGCTTTTTGAATGGTTGAAAAAGTTTTAAACTGGCTTGAATTTTATGGATGTTACAGCGTGAGTCAACAGACTGGGGGTATTCCAACCCGATGGCTGAGTGGACCCGAGGGTATTCCAGTCCGATGACTGAGTGAACTCGCTGTATATTGGTATTCCAATCCGATGACTGAGTGGACCTGTTGTATGTTGGCATTCCAGTCCGATGACTGATTGGGCCAAGGGTAATCCAACCCGATGGTTGTGGGCCCGAGGGTATTCCAGTCCGATGACTGAGTAGACCCGTTGTATATTGGCATTCCAATCCGATGACTGATTGGGTCAGGGGTATTCCAGCCCGATGACTGATTGGACCCAACATGCTTGTTTGTATATGATATGCGTATTGTGTGCTAGTACTTTGGGGGAATTCACTAAGCGTTGACTTACCGTTTTAGTTTTGTTTCAGGCAGTGTTGCAAAACTCGCCGAGTTGTCCGATTACTCCTCCGAGTACTCGCTACTCGACCCCTTACCGATGCGAGTTACAAAATCCCGAGTACTCCCCTGATCGGCCCCTTACTGAACTGAGCAGTGTTATAAAACCCGGTCAACTCGGTGATTAATATGTATAATACACTTAATGATTTATTATTTAACACACACACATATGATTATTACTACATATATATCTTAAATTTTCAGTAATTATTCATGAAGTGAGACCATTATGTGTTTTTCAGTTTTTGTGTATCCAAATGTATCTAATTTTGTTATATATTTCAATCAGTTTATGATTTGAACTTATGATTTTGACATATATATCTTCCCTAAAAATATTTCTATATGAATTACCAAATCCGAGTACTCCCGAGTACTCGCTACTCAGTAGTCGGCCGAACAGGCACCGGGTAACGAGTTCTACAACCTTGGTTTCAGGTACTTCAGAGGACTGTGACAAGGCAAAGGCGTGACCGTACACATCCTTGGTTTTATGACTGATTGGATCTTAGGAGACTCTGATTTTAAATAATGTTTTGGAAACAATGGTTTTATAAACACTTCTTTTAGTAAATGAGTTATTTTGAAAGGTTTAAATTTGTTGTGATTTCTGGGATGTTACATCACCTCTATGATAACATATGACTTGATCACTTTTCAACGGATATTAACACAATAAAAAAAGGTTTTATATATCAATTTTCGGATTTCCATTACAAGCAAAAACAAATAACCCCAACTAAAATTAGTTACCAAAATTTAACATATGTACTTGCAAATTTTTTTCAACGACCAACATATTGGACTCACTCTCTAACCCTAAGCCCTTTATTCAAGTCCATTACCAAAAACTAATATTACCAACATACTATTAATGTTTACAAACATTAACATTTAGAAAAGAAAAATATTAATATAATGACACAATGTGCAAATAATTTACAAAACAAAAATGTTTACTTAACCATTACAACATGTTAGATTCCACTTCCACGTAACTAAAACAAAACAAAAATAAAAAGAGATTTTGAAAAAAAAAAAAAGAACCACACTATATTACAAAACAAAAATAACACAATTTCTATTAAAAAACTTAAAAACAAAAAAATATTAAACACTTACGAGTTAACTACTAACCAAAACAAACTTTATACCTCAACAAACAAAAAATATAAAAAGAATTAAAAAAAAATCTTTACTGCCAACCGACACAAAGACCAATTAAAAATAAATATAACTATAATTATCACATATCTATACCCACACTCAAACCCGATTCTTGGAATACTACAAAATTAATATATCCACTTCCCAAATTACCCTCATACTAAAAAACTTTAATATGACCACCAAATAAACGAATGAAAACAATATCCCACAATTATCAACTTACATACAAACACAACCAATCTTTAACAATAACTTTTCCTCAATCTATTTAATTATTCAATTCAAACAAAAACAATAACACCAAAAAAAGACATTAACACACCAAGTACGAAAAAAAGTCAACAAACATCTAAAAAAAACATGAACATTTTATTTTTCCTTAAATTACCGACCATTCCAACCCGCGCCAATGACGCGGGTGGCCTTTTATTAGTTAAAACTTTTAAAATCATAACAATTGAAGTAAAAAGAACCGGTAAGGCCGGGGGCGAGGCGGTAACACCCGAACGAGCAAAAACTACATGGCCTGTCTCCGAGCGCCGCGGGCTTTATCCCATTCACCTGTAGGAATTACCATATCCAATGAACACAAGACTTTCCGAGACACACAGACACACTCTTTGACCCTTCTCTCTCCATAAATTTCATTCAAATCTCTTTCTAGAAGTAAATGCGCTTCACGCTTCCCCCATCTAAAACTCCAAAATAACTTCTAACAACTTTTAAAAACCCTTTGATTTCACTTCAAATTGCACCAGTTAGCTGGTTGTTCGACCTCCATGTCATAATTTTCAAGTCTCTCTGGATCTGATTCCTGCCTAAACCTTGGATTCTTTTCAGAGAAGAGGGTTTTCAGTTTGGGCCAATTTTAATTTGACAAAGTATTTGGAGTTTGTCAGTCGATGGTGATATGGGTTATCAAACTTCAGACTTGGGTCCTGATTGAAGCCGGGGAAAGAAATTGGCACTTTTAGTGGATATCTTTCGCGAAATTTGGGGAATATTTAGTTACTGATTGAAGCTAGGGTTTGTCGTAGAGGAGGAGAAAGTATTTCATGAAATCTTGAAGGAAAATGTTTTATTCGCAGTTTATATTAGCAAAAAAAGGTCCTTTAGGGACAATATGGATTGCAGCACATCTGGAGAGGAAGCTCCGCAAAAATCAGGTTGCAGATACTGATATTGGCTTCTCTGTAGGTAATACATATATTTTTTTTTGTTTATTCCCAAATTTTCTGTTGGAAGTCTGGTATCTTCCTGCACGAAGAGGTATTCTTAGAACCAAGAGTGATTTTGGTAATCACTTGACATGAAACCTAAATTTAATTTCTTTTTCTGTTCTATCTTCGTTGAGTTTGGCTTATTTATTGGAAACAGTTTTTGGTTAGATAGTTTACAAACAGAAATCTCATGGTTTAGCAGTCAATGAGTTGTTAATAAATTCTGGTTGGTTTTGACTTTTGACAGACTCGATTCTTTTCCCTGAGATGCCAATTGCACTCCGGTTGTCCAGCCATCTTTTGCTTGGTGTGGTTAGGATATACTCAAGAAAGGTAAATTACCTTTTTGATGATTGCAGTGAGGCTTTGCTTAAAGTAAAGCAAGCTTTTCGGTCCACTGCTGTTGACTTACCACCTGAAGAATCCACTGCTCCATATCACTCCATCACCTTGCCAGAGACTTTTGATCTAGATGATTTTGAGCTGCCAGACAGTGAGATTTACCAGGGGTTAGTTTCTCAATAATCAATATCCATCCTTTATGGTTTGGTCCCGTAGTTAAGTTAATGATCTGATGTTTGCTTGCTGTTATGAATATTCTGCAGTAATTATGTTGATCACCACATTAGTTCAAAGGAACAGATCACACTTCAAGATACTATGGATGGTGTTGTTTACTCTACATCTAACTTTGGACTTGATGGTAGGTATATTTGTCTGTTACTAAACGATGTTTACATTCTTTCATCATGGAGTCGTTTGTTTACCGATTCTTATCCCTGTAATTTGTTTATGTTTATAGAGAGATTTGGTGATGGTGATGCATATGGTTTGGACCTTGACGAGGTAAATATATTCCTCCTCCTCATTGGATCCGTGTCAAATTTAAGTTGGTATTCTTGTTCATGGATGCTGAAAGCTTTCTATCTAATAATACACTTGTATTATATATATTGTTGATAGATTTGAGTTGTATGTACAAGCAGGAACTATTGGTGGGGAAGGCTGCATCTGCAGAAGATGCTACTGGTACATCGAATTCAGAGTACGCTCTCTCTCTCTCTATATATATATATATACATATATATATATATATCAACACTACAATATTCTACTTTTGTAATCCTAAGTTGTTATCTTCTATATTTTACCAGTTTTGCAAGTTAAATACATACTGTAATTGCCAACTTTTGATTCCTGCACTTCTACCTAGGCAATCCAAATGATTATGTTGGGAGGGATGAAATGTGAATGGGAATTTATAGCTTAAGATAACAATTAAGTTAAAAAAATTCTAAGTATGTCATGCCATTTTTGTTTAGCTAAGAGAAGAGCATCCCCAATGGCAGTTTGGAGAATTACTTATCACTATTCCAAAACTACTTAGCGATGACTTATTCCTATTGGACTTGATCACTTATCTGATAGGATGACATCTTATTATACTCTAAGTGGTTATCGGAATAGTTCCCTTTTACATTTGCCCCCTTGCTTTAACAATATTAGATTTTACCCCCTTAACCATATTTTTATATTACATATTTAATATCTTTTGACTAATTAATCTGTTTTACTATATATACAGATTAAAAATGAATATTATTTAGTATTTACAGAAGAATATATCATTAAAAAGCATTTGTCAAAACAATCAAAATTTATATTGATATCAAATACGAATGTTCTAAGCTCTAACATAAAAACATCTTTCAATCTCAGTGTTGATCCTCAGGCATCTGCCCAGGTTGATGCATTGTTCAAGTATGATCATAATCAGGATACCCCAACTATTCCCGAGGATATGCCAGCTGGCGATATTATGAATCAGGTCCATAAAAGAACATTAAATTATTTCCATGCTACTTTCAAATCTAAAATTTTAAAACCATCTTGTGTTTTTTTTTCTTCCATATCAGCATATAGATGAGTATGATGGAGATAACGATCCAGTTGAGTATGCACATGCTCCATGTACTCCTGGACTATGGGAAGAACCAAATTTGTCCAACATTCAAGAAACTTCTGCATATGATGATCATCAAGAACCTGAAAATCATCCCATAACAGAATTTGCAGTGAAGGAGAATTTAGAAAATGACTCCAGTGAGCAACATCATAATCAATTTGAGCCACTTGAGAAATCACCACCACACATTGCAACAACAGAACAGTTGTCACTTGAGCAATCACCACCACACAATGTGACATCAGCAGAACAGATTTCACTTGAGAAATCACCACCACACGTTGTGACAACTGAACAGATGTCACTTGAGCAATCACCACCACACAATGTGACATCAGCAGAACAGATGTCAATTGAGAAATCACTACCACACATTGTGACAACAGAACAGATGTCAATGTATGATCCTGGTTCAACACCTTTTACAGAATCACATATGGTTGACCAAGTTAGGTCAATGTCTCCAATAGCAGAGGTGTCTGAAACTGTTGTTTCTGTGGTTGATGATCCTGTCAAAGTGGTGAATTTGCTTAATGAAAATGCCACACACCAGGAGCCTGAAGTTCAGACTGTAGATGATAACTGTGAAAACTATGTAGTAGAACATCAAGGCATGTCAAACAATATTACTTATGTAGTCAATCATGAGAATGCATTCCACCCTACCATGGAATTGGAATTAAACACTGAACCCTCTGATGAACAACACAACCTTGTGACTCCCCAAGATCAGGGTTTTATGCAACCTAAAGATTCCACAGTTCCAGTTCAGTCAACTCATGACAACATGCCAAATTTTGACTTTATGGGTCTTAGGCCATGTGTCACTCTTTCGAATCATGAGAATGCATTCCAGCCTACCAGTTCTCTTCCACCATCTGAATTTACTTCCCTGCCCTTGCCCTCAGTTGAAACATCTAGGAGGGAGGAACAGGAACACCCCAGTGCTCCCATTTTGGTGCAAGGTTTGTGAAATGAGCTTATTATGCTTGAAGTTACAATTTGAGTGTTGTCTATTTAATCTAACATCAAATGTATGATCATTTTTCAGGGGAAGTAGTACCACAAGCAGATGCAACTGAACCATTGGAAAGAAACTTGCAGGAAACATATCATGCTGAAGTTGGTCCAAGTAATACAGTAGTCCAGGTGGCATCTAGCATACTACCAAACAGACAGGTGGTCAATGTAATTGAAAGAGATGTTCAGGTTTATAATACCAACAGCTACATATCAAACTTCCACCCCTCTGAGAAAGTGCTCTCTTTTTCACAAGGGCATGATATAATAGAAAGAGAAAGTACTACACCCATACATCAAAGCACATTCACATCTAGCATTAGCATATCAAACAGACAGGTGGACAGTGTAAATGAAAGAGATGTTCATTTAAATAACAGCAACAGCTACACAACCAACTTCCCTGCCCCTGAGAAACTGCTCTCTTTTTCACAAGATTTACCCAACAACATGAACATGAACATGAACATGCTACCAGAAACCACACCCATCATGGCACCACCAGGTTATGGAGGTGATGCTGGAACCAATAATAGGTATTCAGGAAGAAAACGCAGTATCACAGAAAGCTCAATGTCAGCTCAGAGTTTGAATCTCAATTTAAATGAATCTTCCAGTTTTTACACCACAAACAACACGAAAGAATCTTTTCGGGATGATGATTTGTTGTCATCGATATTAGGTATGCACAGACTGTTTTGAAGTTTGTATCCAACTTTTAGTTTAGTTTTTAAATAAGAACAAGGAGATTTGTTTTTGTTGCAGTGGGAAGAAACACTTCAATATTAAAAATGAAGTCCACTCCTACTCCTACTCCTACTCCTCCCACTGAGGCACCATCTACAAAAAGAAGGCGGCAATCTGCACCCAAGACTGCCAAAACTGGGATTTCAAAAAGGAAGGTGCTCATGGATGATAACATGGTTTTGCATGGCGAGTATGTTTACATTCTTAATAAAACATGTTGAATGCTCAATCAATATTCTTTTCCTTCTTCTATGTCATCACTGAAAATGTTTTTTTTTTTTTTTTTTTGAAACAGCACAATACGTCAGCAATTGACAAACACAGAAGACATTCGGAGATTAAGAAAGAAAGCTCCTTGCACTCATGCTGAAATTTCAATGATTGAGAAACAGTTCTGGGAAGATGAACTTTTTGGTAGATCCATAATTACGGGTGAGTTGTTAGTGGGCAAATTCAGAAAAGATTATGTTTCTGTTGACTGACATTGTGTTAAATTTTACAGGAATGTCAATCAAATTGACTTCTTTGCAGCGTCAATTGTATGATATAAGTAAAATTGTTGTCTCCCAATATGATAATGCTTCTTTAGAAGGTGTAACAGACCAAAAATCAATTTCCCAAAATGATGAAAAGGACATACAACCGGAAATGGTGACTGAAAACACGGGTGTCTCTGTTGAGCCAGATGTTCCTAAAGAAAACAAAGATCATGATGATAACTTTGATCCTGTTCCCATGATAATAGATGTTTCTGAAGAAGCACAACCGGTGGATGTTCCCAAAGAAGACAGAGATGAGGATAACTTTGATCCTGTTGTTATGAAAGATAAAGATGTTTCTGAATCACAGCCAATCGATGTTCCTAAAGACAATAGAGATGAAGATAACTTTGATTCTGAATCACAACCAATCGATGTTCCTAAAGAAAATAGAGATGAAATCGATGTTCCTAAAGAAAACAGAGAGGAGGATAATTTTGATCCTGTTGTTAGGGAAGATAAAGATGTTTCTGAAGCACAACCAATTGACAACAACACACATGATACTGATAACAATACCAGATATTTAGATTATTATGAGAATCAAGAACAGATGCATACAACTGGTGATTTTACCCAACTCTTTGGTCCAGAACATGATATTTTGGAGCATGCTACTGCAATGGAGATGGATGGCAATAGCTTTCAAGATGCTGATGTTGGAGTTTCTGTTATGCATACCAAGGTTGAATCTGAATCACTGACACATGCTGATGTGGTCCCAAGTGATACGAATGACATGTCAGCAGCAGCACCGGTTGAGGTTGAAAAGAGCAGCCAGATGGTTGCTCCTCTGCTAATGGGCCCACCACCAGGTTTCGGTGCATATGAAAGAATAGATGTACAGTCTGCTAATAATTCTATTGAAAGCAATGTTGCTTCTGAAAGAAAGGTTGATGATGAGTCAGTTAGAGAAGAAAGACAAGAAGTTGTTTTAGATGCTTCCACTACGTTCTCTTCTGAGACTGATGGCTTAAAATCACACATTCACATTGATATCCTTGACACTGAAATCAGTAACAATGAGGAAGAGAACAACTTGGTCTCCAATGGTGATGTCTTTGGTGAAGCAGTTGATGCTGTAGACAATCAGGTGTTGGAAGACATTTTATTGGATGAAAGAGAAAAGGCAGGTCATGATGTTACTACTACTTCATTGAATCTAGAAGATATCCCTACCGATAACAGGGTTGATGTTGATGCTGATGATGTAAGACAAGTTAGTTATTTATTTATCATTTTTGCGAGTTTTTTATATAAAGAATGATGTATTGAAAGTTGTTATTTTGGGTGGGGTTGTTGTAGCAGGATTATATGTATTCTGGAGTTGCAAATGATACAGGTTTGCATCAGTTTCCTTTATTTCTGAGTGTCTCAATGTCATCATATATATATATATATATCCTTACTATTTATTGTGTGGTGGGTGTTTGTTCAGATTTTCTGAATTTTGATGACGGGGATGATGACGAGGCTGGAGAAGCAGCTGATGATTACATGCCTGATGGGGAAGAAACAAAGATGCTTGACAACAGTGGATGGTCTTCGCGTACAAGGTATGTAAATGAGATATAGTTGATAAGGTTTGCATACATATATATATTTATTTAAGAATATATATGGATATGGTAGGGCTGTTGCAAAATACCTCCAGATTATGTTTGACAAGGAAGGAGAGCGTGGAAGGAATTTGCTTGGTGTGAACAACCTGCTAGCTGGAAAAACACGCAGGGAAGCTTCAAGAATGTTCTTTGAAACACTGGTATGCTCCCTCATCATACGATTTTAATATCACTCTGTAAAGAAAAAAAAGAGTAAAATACAAATGTATATTTTGTTGCAGGTTTTAAAGACAAAGGATTACATCCATGTGGAACAGACGGATCCGTTTGAAAACATAAATGTATTTCCACGTTCCAAGCTTTTGAAATCAGAATTTTAAAGCAAAGAGGAGGAGAAGTTGATTGTGGTTACTTAGGTCTTTTGTTACTTTGTTTATGGTCTCAAGAGAGTAAATTAATTAGTTATGTTGTTTTGGTAGAGTTATAACATGGACTGGAGTCGAATAGATGAATCATGTAGCAAACACACACATTTATTTAATGCTTGTTAGAGGTTGTCATGTAATGTTGTACGTATGGATCATGCATATTTATTTGTAAATAAGCACATAGAGTTTAATCCATGCTAATTTACTCATACTATTGCTCTCTTTCTCTTTCCTTTTTGCTTGTGTTTGCCATTTTTAATCTTTGTCATCCACATATTAATTTTTATTGATCCAATTTTGGTGTTACAAATTCCTAAGGTGTGTTTCACATCACATATAACATGGGCGTGTATTTAGCTTAAAAAAAATCAAAAAAAGTAAAACTTAGGAGCTTTTAGCTAAAATAAAAAGCTCAAAATACAAAAACTATTTTAAATAACGTTTGACAAAAATAAAAACTTTTTTATATTTTTGCAAATCGACTTAATTATATATATTTTTTAAATCAATGACATGTTTAATGTAAGTCATTTTACGTGTTTTAAAAACTTTCAATTATTTTTACCAAATATTCATATTACAAATAAAACTACAAATAAAGCTACAACAACCGGCTTTCACCTGTTATATAATATATTTATATACATTTGTTAAAAAAAATAATAATGTCCTTAAGAAATGTATTGCCTTTTGATATAAAATTTATTTCAACTTTGTTTTTTTTTTTTTTTTTTTTTTTTTATATAAATCTTATTCACATCTTTATTCTATTTTGTCCTTGTAAGAAGGTAATTAAGAAAAACGCATTACATTATATACACGAATGGTGCAAAACATACTGTTGTTTAAAATGAGGAACTAAGCTGCTATTTTAGAACATGATATAATATGGGGAAGGCTTATGGATGAACATTTCAAAATAGTTTTTTCTACTGTTGTTTAGAATTTAGATAATTAGATGTAGCAAATGATGAAATTAGAGGCATTTAAGTAATGAATACCAAAATTGTTAGACATGATAAAGAGTGCATTCTAACAATATCAACGTTCACTACTAGGGTTATATAGAATAATTGGATAGACTTTTTAAAATTATAGTATTTTAATAAAAAAAATGAAAGATATAATAATATATTTGAAATAGAATGTCAAAAAAAATTAAAAAAAGAAAAAGAAAAGGTAGAGTTAGACCTAAAATGTAAAATGATGCACATGAATTAAAAAGAAAATGAAAAAAAGTGAAATGGGTGGGGTGCGTACTTTGTATATAAGACAGACAGACTACTACAACCCTCTCCTCCTCCAAAATAAATATCTCCCCAAGTCCCCCACCTCCTTCCTTCCTCTTTCTTTCTCTCTCCATTTTCTCTCTCTATTTCTCTCTGTTTCGATTCCCAAACGCCGAGAGTCGTAGCAGAGACTCGCCTGTTCTTCGATTCAACTCCGACTTGGTTTATGAGGTATAATTTTTAAGGCCTGTTAATGTCTCGTCTATCTCTTTTTCATTCGACAGATTTTCTTTCAATTAATTCGTCTTTTTGGTATCTTCGCCCCCTTTTTTAGATTTTCAGATCTGTTCTTTGGTTCTTGTGTTTTAAATCGGTCAAAATAAAATTTTATGATATCTCGTGATTGGTTCTGTATGGAAGCGGAACTTAAAGGGTTTCGTAGATTCGATTGTGTATGTGGGTGTGTTTGTATGCGTTTTAAATCCTTAAAGATTCGAAATTACTGATCTTTTTGTTGAACCAATGTTTGTTTATATAAGTTTTTCATGATTTACGCTATTTAATATGCTAGATACCAGGTTAAATAGGTTTGATTTTTTGGTTTCTTGCAATACACCATTGTTGTTTACCTTTTCTATGCATTTTCTTTTATCTTTTATATAACTGGATCTTGAATTAATATTTGGTTTTGTATTTTTGCAGCTCGAAGGAGAAGCCCACTCTAGGGTAAGTCTTCTTGCTATATAGATACGTATCAAAGTTTTTATCGCTTTATCATCCCTTATTTTTTATTCTAAATCGACCTAGGTAAAGTGATTTCAATAAAGATCGTATTCTATCCCGTTAAGGGTTTGTTCATACATGACTATTTGAAGTGTGTTGAATGCACTTTTGACATTTCCCCCCTTTATAGTCCTAATTTGAACTTTGACGGGTCTGGTGGGGTAGGTGTTGGTTGCATCTAATTTTTTGAATGACTGGTTTAAATTTCTGAACAAGATGCAATCTTTATTAATCTGTTAATTTGTTTTTCTATAAAGTTTCCATTTTGTTCATAATGCTTGTGTAAATAAATATTCAAGAGTTTATAATTATTTATTTATGTCATGTGTACTTACAGTGGTCAGCGGATCAAGACCCGCAAACGGAATATTGCAGCCCCTCTGGACCCTGCAGCATTTGCGGATGCAGTGGTCCAGATTTATCTGGATAATGCTGGTGATCTGGTTAGTATTCATTTTATTAATCAAATTATCTTATCATATTTTTTATACAATTCTAACATCATCATCAACTCTTTACTTTACCAAATCTGCAGGAATTAATTGCTAAGTGCATTGAATCTTCAGACCTTAACTTCAGCAGATATGGTGACACTTTCTTTGAGGCAAGAAGCGAGACTTGTTTCATTTCAGATGCTGTTTTGTTTGTAGGGTTATTTGTTGATATGCATGTTTGTGTTTTCAGGTTGTGTTCACTGGAGGGCGTACTCAACCTGGAACAACAAAGCCTGATGAGGGGGAGAGGCACACTTACTCAATTCTAGACTGTGAGGCAAAGCGTGAAGTGATATTGCCATCTGTAATCTACATTCAGAAGATTTTAAGGCGAAGGCCTTTTCTGATTAAGAATCTTGAAAATGTTATGCGAAGGTTCCTTCAGTCCCTTGAGTTTTTTGAGGACAATGAAAGGATTAAGCTTGCCATTTTCACAGCACTTGCCTTCTCACAGAAGCTGTCTGGTCTCCCACCAGAGACAGTGTTCCAGCCACTTCTTAAGGATAACCTAGTTGGGAAAGGACTGGTTCTTACTTTCATCACAGACTTCTTCAAGGAGTATCTCATTGATAACCCCCTTGATGATCTCATCTCCATCTTGAAACGTGGCAAAATGGAGGACAATCTGCTTGAGTTCTTTCCTTCTGGGAAGCGATCCGCTAAAGCTTTCTCTGAGCATTTCACGTAAGTACTTTTTTTTTTTTTTTTTTTTTTTTCTTTCTATTTGTTGTTGAGGGGTAAAAGGGTAATTTTGTATTTGTATAAGAAAATGTATGTTGAATATGTATGCAGTAAAGCAGGCATGGGTGCTTTGGTTGAATATAATGACAAGAAGATCTTTGAGGTGAAGGTGAAGGAAATGAAAACAGCATTGACAACTCAGATATCAGAGGAAGTTGATATATCAGAAGTGATTGAAACAGTGAAACAGCATGTGAAGGATGCGAAATTGCCTGAGATTGAGGTAGTGAGGATTCTGTGGGATGTTCTGATGGATGCTGTTCAGTGGTCAGGGAAGAATCAACAGCAGAATGCTAATTTGGCTCTGCGCCAGGTAATGTGATCATGTAATGTAATCATGTAATGATGATGATGATGATGATGATGATGATTGGGGTTATGTTATGCAGGTGAAAACATGGGCTAAGCTGCTGAACACATTCTGTACAAGTGGAAAGCTTGAGCTGGAGCTGCTGTACAAGGTTCAAGTGCAGTGTTATGAAGATACAAAACTGATGAAGCTGTTTCCTGAGATTGTGAGATCCCTTTATGATCAAGATGTTCTTGCTGAAGACACTATCCTTCATTGGTTCCGTAAAGGAACCAATCCAAAGGGAAGGTCTGTATTGTGTGTATATATATGTTTTATGCAAGTTTTTTTTTTTTATCTTATTTGCTCAAATTGGGGGTTTGGTTTTTGATAGGCAAAGCTTTGTGAAGGCATTGGAGCCATTTGTGAAGTGGCTGGAGGAGGCAGAAGAGGAGGAATAGATGTTTCTTATGTGATTCATGACTGCTCTACTGTCTTAATGTCTTTGCTTAAAACTTGATGTGTGTTTGTTTTGTTTGTTTGTTTGTTTGTTTGTGTACTTTTCTGCTGTCCTTGTCAAAAGTTTTATGATATGCTCTCTCTGATGAATTGATTCGAATAATCTGTGTTTGTTTACCAGCTTCCTTATATTTCTCATATTTCTTGCTGCTGTTGCTTACATATATTATTGGTGAGTTAGGCTTGACATGGGTTCCCTTTTTTCGTCTTGCATACTCTAGTTTTCTTGCAAGATGATGTAGATGTGTATGACATGCTGATGAAAACAAGTGTGTGATGATGATGGCTTGTGTACTTCAAAATTGTCTTTAATATTCTAAGATGTGTGTATGTACATTTGTGATTATGTTCCAAAATCTATTACTTTAACTCCTCATACTAGTACAATCCTGTTTTAAAACAACAATGAATAATGGTACACTTTTATTTTTTCATGACCAGGAAAAACTAGTTTTTTGTTCAGTGTTTGATATATTTATTCTATTTTCTTAAGTGTCAAGGTTTCCAATAATAAATTTAAAAGTCTGGAAAAGAAGCAAATGTGTATAAGTAGAATTCAATACACAAGCATCTGTAGATTTGGGGGGATATACACATAAACAAACAATGATGTACTCTCATCCAAAACATAAAACACACAGATTTATATGCGTTTTGTTCTGATTATTTAATTGTTGTTAGAGTTTGTGTTGACAACCATGATCCATTTGCCTATACAAGAAGCAATGATCATTATCTTAGTATTTACACAACATATAATGTTCACTGATGTATTATGACTATATGTCCGAGTGGGAAGACCTAAGAAGAAGAGGGGTGAGGATGAGACTGCTACCCAAGCAAGTCAGTCTGCAACTAAACTTTTTAGGAAGTGCATCAATGTCACATGTATCAAATGCAATAATAGAGGAGAACACAACTCCAGGAGTTGTAAAGGGCAAGGAGGAAGTGAGCATGCTAGAGGAGCAGGGAGGAATCACAACTACATGGGGGTGTAGTTTGAAGTTAATGGAGTGTTGTTTGGGTTTTAACTTTGGTATTTGTCTATTGCTTTGCAAACCAATGATATTGATTATCTTTTGTTAGTATTTTAAACATTTTAGTATGATGGTATGGTAGAATAGTTAATCAATGGCATGCTTTGTTAAAAACATTGACAACTATCCCATTTTGTCTTGAATGATTTAGTTAATATGATGATAACTTTTGTTTAACATTGTATGTTGTCACTGCGTTGTATGACTACTTCTTAATGTTAAATTACAATTTTGGTCCTTAGCATTTTTTATTTTAAGACTAAATTACGCAAATGGTCCCTATGGTTAGGGGTAATTTGCGCATTTGATCATTAACTTTTTTTTACGTTATCAATATATGTTTTCGTTGTGTCTTTCCTTATCATACTTTAAAAAACTATTTTATCCTTAATAAGTTATTTCTTAATCAATTAATTTAATTTAATTATCTATAATTTTATTAAAAATAAAATGGTCCTACATTATTCCCCTCCTTCCCTTCCCCACCTCACCCTTCTTCTTTCCTTAGCCTTTTCCCAACTCCGAAGACTTCACAAAACTACCAAAAATCACCACTGCATCATCATCAGAAAATTCGATTTGGTTCAAAGGTCGACCACCCTCCGTTCTGGTTCGAGAATCCACAACATTGAACCCTATGAAGGGTAAGCTTGTCCAGAGCTTCAAGAACTCCAATGAATGACGATGAAGGTGATTCTGTAGATGTACAATAACATATCTTCCTCGATTCACAAGCTGGCTAGTCTATATAAGTACATGTCGGCGAGTCTGTAGATTTACATGTCGCCTACAGCTCCTCCATGTTGTTTCTCCGGTGAAGAAAGAGGGTCGTCGTAGCTCCTCCTATTGTAGATATGTTACATTTCGGAAGAAAAGAGAAACGAATGTGAGAATGGTTTCTAGCGGCGAAGGTGGTTTACAACGGCAAATCTGTAAAAAAACCCAACTTTTGTCGTATCTCTGTCATGTTGTTTGTCATGGGAAGAACGAGGGTCATTATAGCTCTTCCAGTGGCAGATATGTTACATTCCCACAAAAAAGAGGAACGAAGCTATGTATGGTTTTCGACAACGAATGTGATTTCCGATACTGAAGGTGGTTTTTGGCAGCGGCCAAATGCGCATACCCCAAACCACAAGGACTATTTGTGTAATTTACTCTTTTTGTAGTTTGTAAAAAATGTAATAATTTAATTTTTGGTTGATGTAGTATTTAAATTGCATTTATTATAATTTCGAACCATATAATTTTCAGTTTAGAAAAGAATAAATGACGGTTTTGACCCATGGTTGATATGAATTTGTAGGTTAAGTCCCTATTTAAGATAATTTCATAGGTTTTTCAAATTATTCATATATATTTGAGTAAGTTACATTTCTCTAGTGTTTTGGTCCAACCTTTGAAAAGTTAACAGGTTGCATCCCTCTAGTTTTAAAAAATAATGATCATTCTGTTTTACATCGTTAGAAAAGCTTTGTTAAATACCTGTAAAAAAAGCCAAAATAAAACAAGAAATTGCTTCGTGGTTGAGATTTTGGAAAGAATAAACGTACAACCACCTGCAAAAAATCATATCAAACCCACAACAACCGCCTACATCCATCGTTGCAATGGCAACAATCGGCGATAATGCATGCATACAATTACAGTTTACAGATGCTGGTGACACTACGATGGCAACATATGGTAGCGGTGGTGTGATGCAGAGGACGAGGATAAAAGAAAAGTGAAGGGGAACAAATGTTAATGTGATTTCCTTCCTGATGCACATTGATTTTTGGATAGAATCGACCATAGTTAGGCAATGAGTGGGAAACAGGTTAGTCAGACCAAAAGTTAGAGTGAAACGACGAGTTAGCATTTAGGGGTTTTTTTATTTGTTTATTGCATGATTAGTCCCTCTAGTTTATGAAATAAAAAATAAGGGGTATATTGGTCTTTTAACAGCTTGACAAGAAAAGCCAACAGTTTAATTTCTCCAAACCACAAGTACGAGACCTATTAACTTTTCAAAGATTGGACCAAATCTGCAAAATAGAGAGAACCACAAGGACCATTTCTTTAATTTACTCAAGAATTCTTAACACTAGAGTAAAACGCAGGACGATTACTCTTGGCTTTCATCATGTTAAAAAAAAACCCACTAATGAGCTTCTGCAATTCGTCAATGTCCATCAATAAACCCGCAACTCTGAAGTTTGAAGTTTCCGTTTCTTCAGTTTGGTCCTCCTATTGAATGAGATAGTTGATTATTCCAAGGTAATTTTGCTACGTAGCCGCTCGATTTTTTTTTGTTCCACTCAATTACTGGATTTTGTGTATAGAATTTATCCTGTCAGTTACATATTTTGATTTGAGGGCATTAAGTTTCTTTTCTTCCACAATTCACTTTTTTTCAAAACTAAATCCGTTAATGGTTTTTGTTATACAATATTGGCATCCATAACCAGTGTCCAGTGGGTAAGACTGTAAGAAGGTAAGGTATTGATATGGGTGATTTTTTGTAGGTAAAAAAAAATCAAATTCGGTATGATGATGATGCGTATTACAAACTTGGAAACAACCGCGTTCCCCCGATTATTGAGTTTTGCCCCTGCCCGATTCTACACTGCCTTTGCCTTTGCAAGAAGGCCTAGACGTCGAAACTCATTCCTCTTCACAACCAGTTGCTCAACTGATGTGTCAATCACCATTGCCACTGACCACAATTACGGCAATAAGCAAGTTATCAGTGTTACTCAAACCCTATACGACTACTTGCTCACCAACGTTAGAGAACCACCCGTAATAATCTCTCTCTCATCTCCCACTCTTCCAACAAACTTATTATATATCACTTTCACTTGCAAGAAAAAAAACTAAACAAACGATTTTTTTTTTTTTTTTTATTGCTCCACAGATTCTGCGACAACTTAGAGAGGAGACTGCAACAATGCGTGGGAGTCAAATGCAGGTATCCCCTGATCAAGCGCAACTACTTGCAATGCTTGTCCAGATTCTTGGGGCTAACAGATGCATTGAAGTTGGGGTCTATACTGTAAGCATTTTCATTTTTTTTTATTTTTATTATTTTAACTCTCCTCCTTTTGGCCTCTAATCTAATGTTGTACGTAGGGATACTCATCATTGGCTGTTGCATTAGTCCTACCAGAATCAGGAATCTTAGTTGCTTGTGAGAGGGACATCAACTCACTCCAGGTTGCAAAGAAGTATTATCAACAAGCCGGAGTTTCACACAAGGTAATCTTTCTTTTTTCTATATTTCCTTACCTTTCCTTTCCTAACATACATTTATGAAATTGATACATTATTATATTAGGTGGATGTAAGACACGGATTAGCTGCCGATACCCTAAACTCAATGCTAGAGAATGGGGAGGGATGCAGCTATGATTTTGCTTTTGTTGATGCTGAGAAAAGAATGTATCAAGAATACTTTGAGTTGCTGCTTAAATTGGTTAGCAACATAAACTTTCACTCTCTTTAAGTTCATTTATAGCTTCACATTGTCTTAAGTTTTACATGTTGATTTTGTAGGTGAGAGTAGGTGGTGTTATAGTAATTGATAATGTGCTTTGGCATGGAAAAGTTGCTGATCCCATGGTAATGGTATTCCGTATTGTATTATGTATATAAACACAAGCATCATGACTGTAAGTTTTATGTTTAGAAATCTTATGCTATGTTCCTTCTTTAATTGTGTACAGGTTAATGATAAGAAAACAGAGAGCATAAGAAGTTTCAACAAAGCTTTAATGGACGACAAGCGTGTTACCATTAGTATGGTATGTCTGATGTCATACAAATATAAAATGCAACATTTGACTTGCTTTATACTTCATTAGTGCAAACTTTGGACTAATATTTTTGTTTGGGGTTTTGTTTCTAAGGTGCCAGTTGGTGATGGCATGACAATATGTCGCAAGAGATGATTTCTTTGCTTCAAGAAACAATTATCGAATCAGAAAAGACATATCCACAGTAGACTAATGTGTTCAGATTAAGATTTAAAAAACACGCCTCATTTTTGTAATTTGTAGACTGGTATATTGGTTATTTTATTCCTTCTAGTTCATGAAATGATGAGACCATAAGTTCCCTACTGGAAGTACAATCTGACAGAAAAGGGGAAAAAATGTAAAGATCAAAAGGAATATATGAATGTAATATATGGAGTTAAATTGATGTAATATGAATATCTACCTTCAGGGGTCATTATGAACACTGTGAAGTAAAACCTGAGCATGCTGTAAAAGAGCGTTGATTTCCTCATTTGAAGCATCAAGGAGGCGAAGTTCTTTGATTTCCTCTTGCCATTTTTCCATCTGTTCCTTGTGTATTCTGTGGGCATGAATGAGGTTAAATCATAAGCATACAACAACTGTAAATGTTTAAATAAACTTCATTTACATGTTCCAACTCACGCTATCATCCGTTCTTCAAATTCAGTAGTCAATTCTCTCAGGAATGATTTCCCAGATTCAAGAAGTTCAGACACCTTTGTAAAATAATCAAAACCAGCTTAAAAAGTTAAGTCATAAATTCAAGAGTGTGTAATGTAATTATAACATTTTGGTGATGATTAATCTTTGATGTGGTCACCTGCTGAGTAAATTGATCAATCTTTTCAAGAATTTGGTTCATAGAAACCTCCATGTGTTCAGATACAGGAGGATTTGTCTCTGTATCTTCTTCTGCAACCTCTACTATTGCTCCATCTACTACATCTGGTGATTCCTTCTCTTCAACCTGATGAGTGAATATCATAAAGTAGTACCCAAGAACAAATTATTAATCTTCATTTGCTGTAACAAATGGAAATGATAAAAGTTAGGTTCCAAGAAGACATACAGATCTCATACGTTTCCTCATGGTTTCACCCCTTTCCATATCCATTTAAAATGTGTTTGTCAAAGACTGGATAAGAACAATCATATACCATCAACCATGAGAGATCATGTCAACAAAAGTTAACAGTAACAAGTTACACACATATTGTATTTCCTAGTGTTTTTATGATAAGGAGAGAGAGGGATGTTTTGTAACTACTTACATAGAATATACTTGTATTATATACAATAAATGTTATTTTTCTCCCATTTGTCACTTTTATGGCTACAGAAAACTAATTAAAAGGAACACTTCTATACTTCTATTGATATTGCTAATCACAAATTCTGCTTCAATATATTCTAGATACAAATCTACAAAAAGAATTTGGAAAAAGAAGACTGATCAAATTTTAAAATAACCTGGTCAAACATAGTAGTAGAATTGTTCCTTCATACGGAGAGAGTGACTCTCATGGTTTTGTTTACAAATAACAAGAATGTACAACAATCGAGTGATCAACTTTCTTTGTTTTCCTAATGAGATATGCAAAAACGAAGGTCTACAGCTCTACATGACAAAGGAAGTTTTACAGCAACATAATGTGAAGGTAAAAACGGAGATGGGGCACAAGCGAGCATGAAAGAGTTCCATCAACTGTGCAACCAGAGACACAAATTTCTCTCCAGAATCCAATCATGATAAGACTTAGAGGAGGTTAGGGAATCATTTTCAGAAAATTGGAAACCCTAACTTATTGGGGACCAAGTCTAACATGAAAGTAAAGCATGCGCTTACCATCACTTGCCATAATTGTTGATCGGATTCCATGTAACGCAAAGGCATACAAATTTGTGCACTAGTTTGCGTATGTTCTTAAACAAATCCTTTTCCGAATATATCAACAGCGATCCTTCTAATTGTAATCTTAAATGAGTGACTAAGAGCCTCACTCTAACAAAATTCCAATCGAAAAACAAATCAGTATACACACACGCACACATCTGCACAATCTACATCAGAAGCAGAGCATTACATCTCAAATGAGAGTGGCATAAAACTTTTGAAATCGTTTGGATCTTCGTTCAACAATTAACGTCTGAGTCATCTCGAATTCATAACAGAAAAACTATATACGGGCATTAAGTACACCGGTGAACAAATAATAAGACTCTTATATTAGGCACTGATTTCACAAAATAGGCAAAAATCACTAGAAACCAGTGAAAGCAACAATTCCGGTGAAGCACTAAACAGAACTATTGAACATATCATATACCAACGTACACATAATGCGAGTCACGATGCTTGATGCTTCATTGTCATTGGAAACCAACGATCAGATCATATACCAATTGAATGAGAATGACAAAAAGTAGGACATAAAACTTACCTTACAAAATAGAGAAGTTCAAAGGCTTGATTTCTGATTCGCTGGAGTGAAGTCGAGACGATGAATGAGCTCCTTTGAAATTTGCCAAACACACTCGTTACTTCCCGCGTTTCCACAATCCTGTTTGGGTATATAGAGGCGCTAAATGCGTGAAGCATTAGAGTATGCATTAATTTTATTTTTATTAATGTATATTTCTTTTTGTTATTAAGAAATTTTATTATTGTATTATAGTATTTCAATTTTACCATAAGAAATAAGAATTATTTTGTCACGTGTCATTCTCTCATTCGACTCGCCACATGTCATTTTGTCATAATTTTGAGATATATTTATTTTCCACTTGTCATTTAGTTAATTTTTTCATTTTCAATATATCATTAATTTTGTTTCCATAAATTAAACCTACCATAATAACTATTAATTTCAAATTTCAAATTTTAAATTTCAATTTCAATTTCAAATAAATTTACAGTTTAAACATTTGTGTTGAACATTTTGTTATAATTTACCCGTTTAGTACATGGATCTGATAACTAAACATATAATTTTAATTTATTTATTTTTTGTATTTTTTTCCTCAAAATTTCAGTTATTTCAAATTTCAAATTCAAATAAACTTCTCGTTTAATCGTTCATATTTAACATTTTGTTTTAATCAACCCGTATAATATACGGGTCTCACAACTAGTTATTTAATACGACAATATGTCCTTTTCGGAAAAATCTATCTAATTATAACATTTTAATATTCATTAGGATGTATTATAAAAGTGTAGAATAACTCTACCAATAAAAAATGTTTTTTATTTCGATAGCAACACTATAACACTAACTAGATAAAAGGTTTTAATTTTTAAATAAAATATTACTACATGAATAAATAAAAACGGGAAGGTATAATAGACAAATGTTGCTTTTAACCCTATAAAAAACTAATTATCTTCTTGTAAGTGTCAGTTTAAATTTATTTCTATATGTAAGTAATAATTTGATTACTGCAAGATTATCTTGTTTACAGTATATTTTAGATTTTTAATAAAAAAATTATAACATTTTAAACGACAATATGTTAATTCAAATATTATATATCTAAGGCTAACAAGAAAAAACACAATATTTTTTTGTCAATCCAAAATAATATTTTCTTTAGCCATTTAATGTAAGAAAGTTATTAAATTTTTCTACGGAAATTTCATATGAAATAGCCAAAGATTTTTTTATTGTATTAATATTAAATGGTTAAACACATAAATTTTATAATGGAAAACTAATTATCTTCACTTTTTTCCATAAACCATTCTCTAAATAAATAAATAAATAAATAAATAAATAAATAATAATAATAATAACAATAATAATAATAATAATAATAATAATAAGTTTGAGCACTAAAAAAGAAAACCACAACCAATATTCTTTCAATTTTTACGATTTGTTCTCATAGAAAAAGGGGAAATATACATGTAAGCCTATTTTTAAAAATAGCAATAAATATTTATTTTTAAATAATAGATTGCTAGTATAACAATCTTATCATCACCCTAAAAAATGGACATGTATTACTTAAAAAAGAAATATTTTGTAGGAAGAATAAGAAGTACATCATTTGTATGATTTTTGGTGAATCAACAAAATAAATCTTTATATAATACAAAAATAAGATGATTTGCAAAAAATTTTCAAAAAAAAACTCATAAATGATTCATTAAAGGTGTCTGAAAAGTGAATTAAAACTTGATTCAGTAAAAAAAATGAATCATCAAAGTTCATTTGAGATTTTTTTATAAATCATGTTATTATTGTATTATCTAATGATTCATTTTGTTGGTCGATAAAAAAATATGCAAATGATGCATTTCTTACCCCTCCTATCAAATATTTACTTTTAGAGAAATTAAAAACTCTTCTACATTTTATTCCTACTATCCTCCTACCCACATAAAATGGTGATAAGCGAACTAAAATATTATCAATTTCATTAAATGTGACACATGTCAACATTTGATATAGTAGGAAGATAAGTAGAAATAAAATGTAGGAGAATATTTAATTTCTCTTACTTTTATTTGATCTTGATTCTTCAATAGTGTATTATATATTGTAATTAGTCCTCACAATTAGATCCGACACTTGGAATTGGAAAGTAGAAATACGTTTTTTTTAATAAGGTAATTACATCAAGATGAAAACACCATGGGTGGATTGAGTAATGAATTAAAACGTTTTTGAAGGCAAAACGAGTTGGTTGGGAATGAATAATAATCTAAGATTTCGCATATTTAATTATAATGATTTAAGATGTATAAGTATTTGAATACACTTACTTTAGGCATATTATTATTTGACTCATTTCCTTTGTAACCGATTTTTTGCTATTTCACCCGCTTAACCCATTATGAAATAAATACAAACCAAAATAACTCATTATGATAAATGTCTGAAATGATCACCTCCATGATTACAAGGTTTATTATTATTATTATTATTATTATTATTATTGCATTTTTCATGTCAATCACCAATCCCAGTCATTTTGTTAATTGAATCATATCTTTCAAAAAACACAAACAGATATTTCCTGATCTCGAACCGCTTCTCAACACTCATTCAGCAAAACTGTTGCAGCATTCATACATTTACTAAAATATATGTTGTACCTATTTTATTGATTCGAAAATATGAATCAGAGTAACTGCGGTAAACAATACTTTAACAATGAAAAAAGAATCTAAACCTAAATAGTACATAAAACAAAACTCACTGAGCTGTGGTATCGGGGGTTAATAGGTCAATAGACATAGCAGAAGGTATTCTATGTCGCTTTAAGATATGAGAAGTAGCTGTTCTTGCCCTTTCATAATTCAAAACTATCACTCTCTCATCATCCAAATCCAACCTCACTTCCTCTTCTTTGCACTCTTGAACAAGTTGGCACAAATGTTTCAAGTTATTAACATCAACACCATTAACCTTCTTAACCTGCTCACAAAAACATGTTAAAAAAAAGTTTTCAAGGAATGATTTAGTAAAAAGTCTAAAACACCCTTGGATAATAACATGTACCTGTAAATCAGCAAGACGCTCATATCCAACATTGATATCATCCATCAAGACCTGAGATAAAATAACAAGCTCTTCTCCAGGCTTTTGAGGTAGCTCCCTTAATGCACGTTCACAAAGTCTACGTGGCGATGTATTATACCAGTCTTCTCCATGTTCATGAAGGTAAGGTTGACTCAATGGGATAAAAACCAAACCAGCAAATACAAAATAACTAGGAACTTTATCAAACTGGTGGATGGGTACAAGTGGCTTCAACTGCATAATGGATTATGGAAGACATTTAATTAAAATATAATTCCATTGCTTTCAAACAAGATATGTAAAACTTACTGGACGAAGTGTAACTGTCAGCTCAAGCTCTTCACCGTTTCTCAATACTCTAATCACAGCAGTCTCATTTGGTTTCTTCATTGACACCAGATGATCAAATGTTATTCGCTCCCGATTCCGGAAAGGAACTACAGAATTCAAAAAGAAGGAAATCCATAAAGAAACTGATAGCAAATGTATGAAAGGAATGGGATATGGATTTTACCTGTTCCATCATTTGCTATAGGAACACCATCAAATGCAAGGACGATATCGTCTTTCTTTAACACCCTATACGCATCTGAAAGCGGGTTGATCTTACTCACAAGAACCCCGGTCAACTCAGGGCGCATGTTGAAATATTCACGAAGTTGAATGTTTTCAGTAGGCTGGCATGACAAGCCAAGAGAACAGAAACCGGAATAACTTCCACTAGCTTCAACACCATCAACAAAATGTTTTATCACAGGCACAGGAATTATGTAACTGCAAGATACAACACGATATGTCAAATATGGATACTCTATGAAATGAAAACTGAAAAAAAAGTATATGGAATTGGAACTCACCCTATATTCTCTGCTCCAGAGAGGTTTTGAAATGCCACTCCAGCAACCTTGTCACCCATGATTGCAGGTCCTCCACTATTTCCAGGATTTATGGCTGCATCTATCTGTATTGCCAATAGTTGAGTGGCTCCATGTACATATTGTGTAGGTTCAACTCTTGAGACTACCCCTTTTGTCACAGAGATGTTGTCGCCACCTGAAAACAGCTTTGGGGTTAAGTACTTAATTTAATACAAGTATAAATATGGCCAACATGAGTAATCTATTTATTTACCTTGAGGATATCCAACAACAGCAACAGCTTCTTGCATAAATGGAATGTCTCCCAGCTCCAAGAACTTCATACCTTCCCAGAATTCATCACTCTCAACAACAAGAATAGCCAGATCACATTCATGACCTACAGCTTTAACTTCTGCCCTATACTTGGTAGGAGAACCATGTTTTCTAACAAGTACAAATGTGTGATCAGCCACTACATGAGCATTCGTCACAATCCTCTTCCCAGATATAACAAACCCTACAGGTTTCGACAAAAACTCAATTTCAAGTTCAGTCCAAAATTTCAGATGGATGAAAATGCCAACGAAATCAATATGGAATCATATATCAGACAAACATTTAAGGGCCTGGGTAGACATATTATGCAATGAATTTATAGAAAAAAGAAACAGATAACAAGTTTGTAAAAAATTACAAACCTGAACCCATAGATTCACGCTGGGACTTGTTTTGCCAAGGAAGAAAGTAATTAGGGCTACTCGACACAGTAAATATCTTAACAACAGAATCAAGGGCGAGCTCTATTGCTGAATATGCGTCTATGGTATCCGCTATAGCGTTACTTCGGTCGTAATTCAGCTGCTCGACGGCAGCCGTGGAGGCCGAAGCGGCGGTGGTGAAGTGTCTACATTGATTCACTTTAGAACTTGATGAAAAAGACCGATGAGAAGAACATGCTCGTAGGTTTGGATGTAAGTTCGATAGATTGGGGATTGTATTGTAGCATCGGAATGAACGGAATGGATTAACAAATGTCCCGGAGCAAGTCCGCCGCCGGACATGGAGGTTGTGGCACGAAGAGGAAGTAACCTGTCGAAGCGCAAGGCCGATTGGTCGGAGCATATCAAAGAAGTATAGTTTCGCTCCGAACAACCTCGTTGCTATACGCACTGCTTTCTTAGGTCAAATTATTTGTTTTTGGAGAAAATATTATTAACATTGTTTTTTTACAAATAAGTGAAGGGATTGAAACATTTTCCGGTTTTCACATGTTTATTAATAGTATATTTGAACAAAAATGTTTATAAATATAATTATATATTATTATTGTTATTACATATTTAACTATTTATATTTTGCATATTCTTTAAGTGGTCGTTTATGAAGCTATAGTATTTTTAGGATGTATTAAGTATAGTTTATGATTATGCACTAATTCTCCTAGCATTACATCAACGTAACTGTGGCTCCATATTTCCTTGATTGATGGGGAACTTTTCTCTCTAAAGTCTATGTTGTATCTAATAGTCTAATAAGTCTACATTATCTTTATATGTTGTTTAAAATATACTTGTTTTTATCAGTAAAAATAGAAACATTTTCGCCCCAAAAAAAGATGAAAGCATAAAGATTGCCATATGGTCCCCTCCAACCATCCTCGCCAAGTCGCCCTCCTTTTTGCATGATTTTTTTTAGTAACGGTCTTATCATTTATCAATAGATTGTAGATTATGTTGTATGCATGTGTATATGATTAAAAGATATTCGTAGTGTTTGTAATGGAAAATCTATATAAATATAAAATTTTGGTATTGTAATACATACCTTTCAAAACATTAATTACTATAGTAGACATTTTTTATCAAAAAATTTGGACCCACCACACTTCTTTGACTCTTTCAAATATTTAGATGAAAGAGGAGGCATCAATCTTTGATCATGAGAAGATAGAAAAAGAAGGGTTGGAATGAGATATCTAGGACATCTACTCCTTCCTTCTTTTAAGAAAAGATTTATATTTTAGGTATGTCTATAAATTTTGGGTCTACCATATTATAGGATGATTTACGTAGAGATAAGAGTATGCAATTGCATACCTATAGTTAAATACTCATGTAGATTAGTTGGCAAGAGGGTGTTGTGTTCATTTTTTTATCTTAGAAGATCACGGGTTCTAGTTCTAGAGTGCAATTTACTTTTTAAAAATTTGGTAAGGTATACTCATTTATAGACAAGCAAATTTCAATAAAAACATAACTAAATGTAGCCTAGAAGACTTTTATATATATATATATATATATATATATATATATATATATATATATATATATATATATAGGGACGGGTTCAATAGAGAACCAATATGGGTGGAGGAACCAAGGAACCTATTAAGATGGTTAGATCAAAATATTAACAGCCATTGGATTTGAGATGTAAAAGTATGAAAAACAATAGTGTGCAGCTGATTATAACCAAACACGTAACTTAAGGGGGCATTGTCGTCAAACAAAAACTTTTTAACTCCCACTGTTAATTAACGTCGTTAGTTCATCAGTTTCAATTCAGTGAAAATCGATTTTACCCTCTCATTGAAAGCGATCTTTTACTCCACCGACGACATCGATTTCAAACGAATCTCCGGCGACGATTCAGTCAATATCCACAGTGAATCTTCCCGAAAAGTTCGTCAAAATGAATCTAGAAGGTATATTTGACTGCTATTCACTTTCGATTATCTCATTTAATCCATTTTCAACATTATATTTTTTCGATTGATAAATTTCAAAACGACAAATCTAAACTATCTGTTACATTATGTATTCGATGAATCTGTTAATACACTATTTTATTAACAAAATCGTTTTAGACTGATTTGAAACCCTCGTCGGATGATGAACTTTTAATAATTTGTATTAATAACGAAAACCTAATGAATATCTATATTACAAACTGAAATTTCCTAAAACTTTGTGAATCTAACTCGAATATGAGTTTATTAAGTAAATCGAAACCCTAATTTCATGAACTTTTGAGAATTCGTATAATTACCAAAAACCTAATGATATAAATTTCTTCAAATCGATACAGAAATCATGAATATCTAAATTACAAACCGTAATTTCCTAAAAACTTTGTGAATCTAAGTGGTTTCTGAATTTATTCATTAAACTGAAAAACTAATTTCACATTTTGAATTCACAGTGTGCTTTGTGATTTACATTTGATAATTTTGAAAGGATTCAATGTTTCTGAGTATTATATTATTTGACAATTCACAAAGTGAATCATGATTATATATCAATTTAACATATCATTTATTCAAATTGTGAATTCACAGGGTGATTTATCATTACATTTGATTTTTTCATCTTGTGAAATTCACATTATGTATCTATGTTTAATTCATATTGTATCTCTTATTGTGCTTCTCATTGTAAATTTATAAAGAGTTGCATTGGTAATGTTTTGATTCAAACTGAATTCACAATGTGAATAAATCATAACTTTCATACCATGAAATTGATGTTTGAATTAATTTGTTAATCAAAAACAGGAAATGAAGAAAAGATCAATGAAAAAAGGATAATAAGAAAAGAATGAAATTGACAAGAAGTCTAAAAGATGTTCTACCTTCAACTACAAGTGAAAAAATTGAAGATATTCAAGATAAAAAAAAGGTTAGAACATTTGCATTCAGATTAAAATAACTAATTATCTAATCATATACTACACACTTATTAAAAAAAAACTAATTCACAATGTGAATCTTGGATGTGTATCTCACATTCAAACAGATTCACAATGTGAATCTCTTAAAAACATTTTTTTTTGCAAGTTGATCAACACTTTTGTTTGTATTTGACTATGCACAATGTAATTGTAAAAATTCACCATGTGTATGTGTACATCACTTGGTGAACCTCAAACTCTTTTGCTGTTAAATGCATAAATTCACAATGTTCTAAAAGAATGAAATTGACAAGAAGTCTAAAAGATGTTCTACCTTCAACTACAAGTGAAAAAATTGAAGATAATCAAGATAAAAAAAAGGTTAGAACATTTGCATTCAGATTAAAATAACTAATTATCTAATCATATACTACACACTTATTAAAAAAAAACTAATTCACAATGTGAATCTTGGATGTGTATCTCACATTCAAACAGATTCACAATGTGAATCTCTTAAAAACATATTTTTTTTTAAAGTTGATCAACACTTTTGTTTGTATTTGACTATGCACAATGTAATTGTAAAAATTCACCATGTGTATTTGTACATCATTTGGTGAAACTCAAACATTTTTGCTGTTAAATGCATAAATTCACAATGTGAATCTTGGATGTGTATGTCACATTCAAACAGATTCACAATGTGAATCTCTTAAAAACATATTTTTTTTTGCAAGTTGATCAACACTTTTGTTTGTATTTGACTATGCACAATGTAATTGTAAAAATTCACCATGTGTATGTGTACATCATTTGGTGAAACTCAAACACTTTTGCTGTTAAATGCATAAATTCACAATGTGAATCTTGGATGTGTATCTCACATTCACACAGATTCACAATGTGAATCTGTTAAAAAAATGTTTTTTTTTGCAAGGTGATCAACACTTTTGTTTGTATTCAGTATGCACAAAGTAATTGTAAAAATTCACAATGTGTATGTGTATATCGCTTGGTGAACCTCAAACTCTTTTGCTATTAAATGCATAAATTCACAATGTGAATCTTGGATGTGTATCTCACATTCAAACAGATTCACAATGTGAATCTCTTAAAAACATATTTTTTTTTGCAAGTTGATCAACACTTTTGTTTGTATTTCACTATGCTCAATGTAATTGTAAAAATTCACCATGTGTATGTATACATCATTTGGTGAACCTCAAACTCTTTTGTTGTTAAATGCATAAATTCACAATGTGAATCTTGAATATAGCTCATAGCCTAACAGATTCACAATGTGAATTTCTAAAAAGTTTTTGCAATTTGATCATCACATGTTTAATTTTATATTGTTTGACATGTATTAATACTACTTATATTTTTGACATTCATATTAAAAATTTCACATTATGTAGTTGAAGGTTCAAAAAAATATACCAAAAACACAGCAAGGAGAACCGTGGTGGAAATAGTTAATAAGTTAAGAAAAAATGAAGATGAAAAGACTATTGAAGAAAGTGTTGAAAAAGAAAAAAGTTTAGAAGCTGATGAGATTCAAAAAAAGCAAACAAAAAAATGATGAAGCAAGATGAATCTGTTTTGAAGACACTTGAAAAGAAAACAACTCAAGGTTAGTATTTATAAAATTATAATTTACTTTAATATATAAAATCAGTTATCTTTAATTTTTTTTTTAAATGAACAGAAATCAGACAGAGTCCAAGATTACATAAAACAAAAACGAAAAAGTCGATGAAGCAAGAAAAATCTGTTTTCAAGACACCTGAAAAGAAAACAACTCAAGGTTAGTATTTATAAAATTATAATTGAATTTGGTATTATAAAATTAATTCTTTATAAATTTGTTAAAACATGAACAGAAATCAGACAGAGTCCAAGACTTAAAATGATTGAATACAAAAAATCTGTGACTCCTATTAAAGTTGAAGATAGCCTTGTAAAGAAAGAATCTGATGAAAAAATAACAGGTTTGTTTATTACTATTCACATGTTTAATTTACAAAGTTATAAACAAATTCACATGTTTATTTTATGTATTATATTATATTTTGCAAAACAAATTCACATGTGAATTTCTTGTATTGTTAGTTATTTTATATTATATATGTTATATTATGAGAAGCTTATGAAAATTATTGACTAACAGGAAAAAGAAAAAGAAAAACAAAGACTCTGGAAGTAGTCAAAGAAAAAATAGGCAAAAGTGCCAATAAATCCAAATGACAGAGTATCTTTGAGAACAAGAATGAGCCTAAAGAAGTTTTATGATATTGTTAAATCTATAAACAAAGAACAGAGAAAAGCTGTCAGAGAAATGGGATTGGGATCTTTGCTGAGAATTGCAACCAATGGAATTTCTGGGAAATTGGCACGTTTTGTTGTGAATTCATTCAATCCATCAGATATGAAAATCCATCTACCTAATGCAAAGATAGACATAACACCAGAACTTGTTCATGATTTGCTTGGAATTCTTTCTAGGTGGAAAAGATATATATATATATATATAACACTGATCAATGTGAAGGAAAAGAATTAATGGACTGGAAGCAACAATACAATTTCAAGGCTATGAGACCATCGGATGTTGAAGAGAAAATTAAAGAATCATCAGATTCAGGGATTATTTTCAGAACAAACTTTTTATTACTGTTTGTTAATACCATTTGTGAACAGAATAAGCCTGGAACTTGTAAGACAACAGTATTGCCACATTTGTTAGGCAAAACACCTATGAGAGAAATTGACTGGTGTGGTTTTATAACCAATTGCTTAAAAATGTCAAAGACGACATGGGATGAAACCGATAGAGGAAACTACTATTGTGGGCCACTTCTTGTATTATTGGTAAGGAAAATTCTTATAATTAACACTTTTATTTATATTATTATAAGAAAACTAATTAATCATAATTTTGTTTACATAAACAGCTAGCTTATTTGGAGTTTATGAGAAATGATAAGAATGAAAAAAGACAAATACATGCACTACATTTTTGGGATTATGAAATGATGATGAAAAGGGAAAAAGCTGAGTTAAAGAGTGGTGACTTTGGAACTTTGGAATGGAATGATGATGTTATAGAGAATGATGAAGAATCCGACACCGATGAAAATGAAGATATGAAACTCGATGTAAGTTAATAATCTATATAATTAAAAAAAAATTAAAGTTAAATTACAGATATATGTTATAAAATTGTAGTTAAAATGAAATTCATAAAGTGATTCACATTGTGAATATAAAAGTGTATTTTATTACTTTCTCTATAATAAATTCACAAAGTGAATATGTAATTTATTAAAATGCATTAAAAATGTGATACCTCATCAATGCATTCATATTCTGAAACTGTAATTTATTCTAGAAAAAAGTTAAAAAAAAATCATTTTCTTTGACATTTTTTATCTCATTTCGCAGGAATTGGTATTCAAAGCGAAAAAGGATTACAAAAAACTAGTGAATGATAAAATGAAGTTTGGAATGTTAATTGAGTTTTCAACAACAAAATTCACAGAAAGCGATGAGTTGAAAGATATGAAGAAAGTCTTTGAACAAGAATTCATTTATAAAACTCAAAATGAAGATGATGCAAAAGGTGACAGGGATGAAGATGAAAAAAAAAGCGAAGAGAATTTGAATGAACATGAAATAAAGAATCAAACAATCATGGTAACACCAGAAAATTTGTACAATGATCCAATAGTGCATGAGATTGCTGATTCTATTCAATGTATTTTAAATTTTGATAATTATGATGATTTTGAAAATGTAAAAAGTTTTAGAGAACAAAAAATAGATGATAAAAAAAGAAAAAAAAATACTAGAAAATCATCAATGCCTAGTTTTTCACTTGGACTTGGTCTTGGTCTAACAGAAGAGTTTCAGGAAGGAGATGAAAGCAGTGAAGATGAACACATGAAGAAAGAAATAAAAGATGAAAAACTTGATGAAGGAGAAAGTTATGATTCAGAAGAAACAGAATGTGACAATAATATCTTGGGAATTGAAGATGATGAAGACAAAAAAAAAGAGAAGTAGGAAAAAGATTAAAAAAACCATCACTGAAGCTATCTTCTCCTTATAATAAAAAACAGGTCTGTGCATCAAAATTTGTAGATCCAGATGAAGTAAAAGTATCAGATAGAATTTTTTCCAGAATTGGTAATAGCAGGTAATAATTCATGTTATCTTTTATTTAAATACAATAGTATATAAAATACAAATACAAATTAATTTTCTATTAACTGCTTTTTTGTTTTATTTGATTACAAATTAAGTGAGAAGGTATTTCAGACTAAGAGAGGGTATGTGCTTGGAAGAGGAATGATTGAAACAATGCAGGCAAGATTATGGGTACATGCACATGTCATTGATGCTTGGACTGATATTTTGAACTATGAAGAAAAGCTTAAATCAAATTCTACACTGAATCGGTATTTCTTTGATACATCAATTGTGGTAAGTTAATTAAAAAAATATATATCATGATAATGTTGATAATATAATAAATACAATTTTCAATAGTTCTGAATAAGTAATAAAATTCACACAGTGAATCCCATTATAATTCACAGTGTGAATAATTTTAAATTTAAAATTTAACTTATTGTGAATTTAACAATTTACTCTTTAAAGATTGATGTATATTGAAATTTTTTTGTAGAGACAGTTCATATTTGACAAAAATATCCCTTTCAATCAAAGATTTGATAAATTTGAGTCAAATATCAAAGATGCAATGAAAAAGGACAAAGAACTTCTGACATTTGAAAAAGTTCACTTGGTAATAAACTGTTCTTTTTGTTGAATATATTACATATTTTTAACAAAGTTTAACAATTTAAATTATTAAACAGGTGTTTTTACCAGTTCTTCAAAAAAATCACTTTTACATCATCTGCATAAACTTAGAGGAACCAACGGTTGATGTCATTGACAACAGGAATTCAGTCGCAAAGTTTTCTAGAGCTTGTCGTGATGCACCTAATGAATTGGTAAGAATATTAAATTTACATTATAAATATAAGTATTAATAGACTGATAATCTAAATAAAATAATAACTATAGAAAATGACAATTTCTTTTTTGCAGAAAATACTTTTTAGTAGGTACTTGATGAGGGTCAATCACAAATCAGCTTTAACTTTGGAGGGTGTTGAACCAGAAAGGGTGAACATGAATTGGCACACGAGGGATAATCATGTTGACTGTGGAGTTTTTTGCATGCGTCATATGGAGACATATATGGGAGATAAAACAGTAAATTGGACATGTGGATTGCCAAAATAATCAAAACAACAACAAAGTGTGTTAAACGATTTACGCATTAAGTATTTGACAAAGATACTATTGAGTGACGCAAACACACACAGGTCAAAAATCATTGCACAAACAGCTAAGTTTGCAAAAAAGACTAATGAAGAAATAAAAGATTTGCTCGACAAGGGATGGGAAAAAAGGGGAGAAAGGATATAGTACTTCAAGGATTGGAAAAAGAAGTGTAAAACTTAAAACTTAGTTTTCTATTCATTATTAGTATAAGTTTAGATGCACTTTAATTTCTTTAAGAACATATACATGCTTGTTATGTTACAATTTGATGTTAGTTTCTATATCAAATATAATGAACTTTACTAAATACTTAAAAGATGTTTATATTTTCATGTGAATGTCTACATGTATGTTATACAATTACATGTTTTATTAAAAATATGATATTGGTGTGTGGGTGAGGGGAAGTGATTATATTTCTACTCTGAATAAAGAATTGAAAGTACATTGTCATTTCATACATTTACTTCATTTCTTTTGGTCTAAATGATTAAATGTTAATGTAATAACAATACAATATATGTAGAAAATTTACATTGTTTATATGTTAACCTTGTGAAAATTTTATATGTAAGATTAACTATGTGAATTACAGTACATATTATAACATGTATATTTTATATGTGAGGTTCACAATGTGAATTATGGTACATATAGATCATTAAAACAATTAATAGTTGAGATTCACAATGTGAATTAAATTACATTAAGACAATCTTTAACATGAAAATTTTATATATGAGATTATCAATGATAATTAATATACATAAATTAAATCATTAGCATGAAATTTTTATTAGAAAATATTCAAAAAACTAACAATAAAAAAAATATCTTTAACCAAAAACAATAATTTGAAAAAAATATATTCTATTATTAGAAATAAACTCTAAAACAATGAATATCAAAATTAACATCAATATTTCAAGATTTCTATCCATTGAATGATCATTACAAAAATCAAATCTTATTTTAGTCGTCTTAAAAAGAAAAAATTAGAAACAATCAGCCTTCTGTAACCTCAGATTCTAAATCAGACTTCTTAAACCTCAAAATGCAACTCCTAGCATTGTGATTTGGTTTATGACATAAACTGCACAACCTAGTACCCTTTTTAGACTTCTCAATCACTTTCTCTCTAGTGCTCTTGATTCTTTTACCACTGGCCCATCCCTTGTTTCTGATCCCCTCTGGATTATGAATGTTGATAACATCAGGTACTGCAGCTCCAATAATTTTTTCAATGTGAACTGATCTACTCGAAGATGCCCTTGATGAGGTACATAAAGGAATACCACTATCAACCTCCTGAAGTTGCTTTATATATTTAGCCAACTCATCCTCATTATTTGCTATCTTGTTGATGGACAAACGAAGAATAGCATATGCATCTTGAATCAAACATTCATTTTTACTGCCTTTATGAGGATATGAGTACTTTTTTCTCAACAATCCATCAGTTATGATATCTTTTCCCCATCTCCTCAAAATGAAATTTGATGGAATTTCATCATACTCTTTCATATTTAATATGAAAAACATATGACGACATAACAATCCTTCCTGGACAAAAAGCATGCAGCTACAACTGATGCTAATGCTATCACCCCTTCTACTAAATACAACCTACAAAATTATCATTAATAAACAAATTAATATGTGAATAAGAAGTTCTATCTCATACCATTCGATAAAAATTATTCAAATTAACATCAATTCACATTATTAATCAACAGGACATTAGAAATCATAATACTATAATATAAATATGTACTTCAAATCAAATTCACAAAAAAACATATTCCATACTAATCTAATGAAAAGTACAAACCAATTTATAACTCTATAAAAATTCACACTATTAATTAGCAAAACATCCTACATTCACAGTGTGAATTTTGAAACTACATTTTATATTTAATAAACTGTATTAGGACAAAGAGACATACCTTGTAACGAGTATTAGGACAATGAGAAGGAAGACTATTTCGATAAAAGTCATCAGATTCTTCATCCTCATTCACATTTTTATCAATCAACTTTTTTTTCTTCTTATCTCTCAAAACATAAACTTCACTTTCATCTTCAATAACTACAGATTATTGAACACAATAAAACACATATTTATATAACTCTTTCTGAATGTCCAAGAAAATATTATGTGTATAAATTTCCGATGCATGCTTTTCAATAGCCAAAGGAGTCCTTAGCTTGGGGGTAGTAGTTGTGGACTGATAATCTAATAAAGATTGATGATGCCTTTGCTTCTCCATTGCACTATCAAACGACATCATGAACTTCACCAAATTTGATTTATGATGCAAAAAATGTGAGAAAGCATTATTCAGACTCTCTGATCTTGAAGTAGTTCGCATCAAACCAGAAAGTTCAAGATCTCTCATAAAAGCTGGAATCCATAAATCCCTTATTTTAAAAACAGACCTTAACCAGTCATTTTCTTTTAGATGAAACTTATCTAACATTGTTGACCACGAACTTTCAAAATTTTGTGGAGAACATTGAAGATTCCATATAATATCAAAAAAATGTCTTCTGGAAGTCCGGATGATTATAAACATCGATAGGAATCTAAAAAAAAAGAAACACATAAGAATCATTACATATGTTGAATATTTGATGTAATTCATATTAACATAACATTTGGTTCACATTATGAATTCACAGTGTGATTTATGATTTAGATTTGTTCCTTTCATCATATGAAAATTTACATTGTGAATTCACTATATGCTTTATGATCTATATGGTTATAAACATATATAGGAATCAAGAAACAAAAAATATACCTTTTCCTCAAGTTTTTGAGTGATGTGCCACATGCATAGTCTATGCTTCGATTCAGGAAAAACAAAATTAACAGCTTTCTTCATTGATGAATCCTGATCTGTTACAATCATCATGGGAGGCTTGACAAATGCTTTACGAAACACTTCAAGCAACCACACATATGCATCTGCTGTCTCACGAGCTAGTAAACCAGCAGCAAAAGTAACACAACGCTTGTGGTAGTCAACTCCAGTAAAAAGAACAAATACCATAGAATACCTGAATTTTTTTTGATAGGTATTATTAAAAAGAACAAATACCATAAAAAGAACAAATAAGGATTAGGAATTACTTGTTTGTTTGATAAGTAGCATCAAAAGATAGTACATCTCCAAATTCCTTATAGTTGGCTTTCGAAGTATCATCAGCCCAAAAAAGTCCAGTAAGATGATCATCAACATCTTTTTGAACCTCAAATGAAAAATTAGAGAAACACAATTTTCTGCTTGTCAATATATCCACAACCATTTGGGAATCTTTGACACCAATTTTACAATTCAAATCTCTATGAAAATTTTTAAAGTCAACTGCAGTCCTTCCCCTAGAATCAAAGCCACCCTTCATACTACTCACCAAGTTATAAGCTTTTGAAGCACCAATGTTACAAGTACCAACCTTATGTATAAAGGATTCATCAAGAAAATCCATTGTCCTATTAATCCTTAATAAGTGCAACTGATCTTGAGCAACAAGTTCATGGTTGTGATCTTCAACAAACACATAAATGTAGAACATTAAAGAACATTGGAGATTTTTGAACTTTGAAACAGCAGGGCATCCGTTCTTCTTAGAAGAAGTTCTCCTTCTCTTAACATCTGAAAATTTCACATTAACATTTTCATTCTTGAATGACTTCGTGAAACCAGATCTACTACATGTCGAATATCTAATACGAATTGTGTCATCATTGTATCTTTTTTGACTTGACATATTCACATCAAAACCACATTCTTGACCATAAGTCTTGTAAAAGTCAAGACCAATGTCCAATGAATCAAACATCAATCCTTTGAAAGGCTTCTTATGTATCAACTTATCATAAGGAACAAGCTTAAAACTTTCAGTATTGTAGAGCTCAAAATCAAAACTATAACGAGAGTTACTGCTATTTGAATGATCAATATTCATACTTGAAGATGATTGATCATGAACTGCAAAACCAAACAAAACATCTATTTCATTACATTATATATAAAATGTGAAATTTATATTAAGAAAAAAACTTACGTGATTGTTCATTAATAATTGAATGCAAATCTGAACAAGAATTACTGTTATTTGAATGATCAATATTCATATTTGAAGATGACTGATCATGAACTGCAAAACCAAAAAAAAACATATATTTTATTACATTATATAGAAAATGTGAAATTTATATTAAGAAAAAAAAAACTTACGTGATTGTTCATTAATAGTTGAATGCAAATCTGAACAAGAATTCAAAGAACTCATAATGAATCGTCGGTAAGCTGGAGTTTATATACAGATTAGAAATTTAGAATTGATAATTATACAAAAAAGGAAACAAATAAACAAGATAATCACAAAACTTTAAAATATATGCACAAGATAAGATAAAATTCTCAAAATCACTAAAAGTTTGGAAAAAACTTAAATGTCAGAAGATGCACAAGATATAATTGATTATCTAAATGTCGAATATGCATTACAGACGAATGATTACAAAAACGGTCGAATGAAAAACAGTAACATCAAACGCAAATTCAACATACGACATAAAAATAGCAAATTAACAATAAAAACATAACAATTTGAAGATTAAACGGTAAAATCAACAGAATTTGACAATAGACGATTATAATAACAATAAAAATAAGTTGATAAACAATGCATCGGAATTGACCTAATAATCATAAACGAAAGATGAATAGATATTAAAAATACCTGATTATTAGCTGAAATCTGAAGAAACTATTAGTAAATTGGATGAAAAAGGTTGATTTCGAAGAACAGCCGAGATTTTGGATCGATCGATGAAGGACAGTGACAGAAGACGCTAACGGAGACAAACAACAACATTAGATTAGACGCTGAACTTACCAAAATGCTCCTCCGTGTTTTTTTGGTTAATTAAGGATTAATGGCCAAGATTAAAAGAAAATAGATGGTTAAGATGGGTTCCTTGGTTCTTTGATCCATATTGGTTCTCTATTGAACTTTTCCATATATATATATATATATATATATATATATATATATATATATATATATATATATATATATATATATATATATATATATATTGTTTTAGACTATATTTGGGGCACCACATCTAACTTATAACATAATTTGTTTTTGACAAAACTTCAAAAATGGTCCATGTGGTTTCCAAAAATATCAAGTTTAATCCCTAAGTTCAAAAAATCTCACAGATGGTTCCTGTGGTTCCAAAACTTTTAACATTTGGTCCTTCCGGCTCACTCCGTTAGCATTTCACCGTTAACTCATTTTTTAATAAAATATTGCAGGGGTAATTTCGTCATTTCAGTTGTAACCTTCTCTCTTTAAAAGAAATTGCATGTCCGATTTTTGGGCAAACCCTTTACCTTTATCAGTCGTCATCTCTTCTCCCTTCCACTGTTGCTCGACCGTTGCACCCTTCACGACATCCAATCGCTTCTGATTCAAAGATGGTGACTTGCAGATGTGGGAATGAAGCAATGAAGATCACTTCATGGACGAATCGTAACCCTGGAAGACAATTTTGGAACTGTACAAGATGTGGGTTCCTTTGATGGTCTGATCCTCCTATGTGTGCTAGGGCATTGGTGGTGATTCCAGGTTTGATAAGATCAATGAACCGATTGGAAGAGAGGGTTGCCATTGCAAGTGCAGAATTGTGGAACTACCAGCTGATGTTGTTTTGTTCATGGGTGTTTTTTTGGTATTATTTTAATCTCTAAGTATCTTGTGAACGTTTGGATGGTAATGGAGTTTTGGTTTTTGGTTTGTAACCATTGTAGGTTTTTTTATTTTATTTTAATCGAATAGAGGTTTTTTTGCTTTCAGTTTATGTAGGGGGTTTTGGAATTGGTGTTGTTGTATTTGGTTTATGTATCAGATTAATGTGTAATGGAGTGGTAATGGTAATGGTAATGGAATGTAGTTTGTTATAGTTGATTGTTCCATTTCTTGAATGTTTTTTAAACGCAATTGTTAAGTGTATTGTAAATGCATCTTTAAGATGTTTTCATTTGCAATTGAAATGTACAATGTTATTAATTGATCTGTGAAGGGTAGTACACAAAACAGATTAATTCATTACCAAAAAGTGCATACACACCATTACATGCAAAGTTTTAAAGTTCTTAACACAACCATCATGCAAAGTTTTCAAAAGACCTACAACACAAGCATTACATGCAAAGTTTTCAAGTTCTTAATGTTGGGTTTTGAGCATTCTAACACTTCCTAAGTGTACATGCAACCCTATTAAACCTTGGATCTATGTTTGTCTAAGATACATGCAAAATATTATTTTCCAAGGTTTATAACCTATCTAACATGGCATGGGGTACTTTTAACCATAAAAGAACTAGATGAATTACATACCTTTTGTTGATTGTTGATTCCTTGGAGTTTGAGAGCCAAGCACCAATAATGTGAATGCCTCAAATGGAAATCACAAATAACCACAAACTTGGAAAAATGTATGAGAGAGTATACTAACTCTTGATTTTGGCCACCACACTTACACACACATTAAGGTGTTTTTCATGCAACATAAGCTTGTTTATATAGTGTACATGGTTAGGGTGAAACCCTAATAACCCATGTCTTTTCCTCTTCCAAGGATCCATGGGTAAAAGCTCCATGGATCATCCATGGACTTCCATATAAGCTTAGCCCATTCCCAAATGAGTGTTAGCCCACACCATATAAATATAATAGCCCATGATTTAATTAGTCTTCCTTTTAATCACTAAATTAATTCATAATTAATTCAAGATTAAAACTAATTAAGTAACATGACTTTATATTAATATATTATAACTTATAATATATTAATAAATCGTAAGTATACAACTCTCATAAAATTATCCATAACTAGTTTGGGTGAAGTGCAACCCAAATGGACCATGTCGGGTCGGGTCAAGTATATACCAAATTAGTTATGGACTTAGACACCTTATCCAACAGACTCCCACTTGGATAAGTCTAATAACTGTATTTGCCTATATTACTTCAGGAACCAACCGGCAATCGTAGCTCTCGAAAACTCTTGTGAACTATGAAGCGCCATTTTAGATAAGTGATCATATAATCCTCTGCTCTCATGATATCAGCCGGACAAATACATGGAACAATGTCTTACTTATTGTCTAGCAGTTGTTTCTCGATTTCCGATTTGTTTGACAAAGAACTTAACTGAACACATCAATTTAGTTCTGACCGGGCCCGGTACATGGGTCAACACAAAATCATCGAGGGGCCCAGATATCGCTTCTATTTCTAGAAGGAACAGATAAACTTCGACTCATATGCTTGTTCTACTACTTATTGAATTGCACACAAAGGCACGTTTTATAACATCAAGTTACTGATGCGTTTACGTGCAATCAATGCACAACCAACTCATAGGTAACAACTCATATCTCTAGGTTTGAAGACTTATATGATATTACCGTCTCACGATCACTCGAGATAAATTCCATGAAGTGATACAAGTGAGCGTGGGTTTATTCCAATACTCATAACTTATGAGTACTCATGAATGTTATAGCAACCATTGCTATGGCTAAACACCTTTAGTCATCTACAATCCCAATTCATGACAGTCTTGATTCATACCTACTTCCGACATATGACCGACTGTGGAGAGTTTGAATAAATTAATTATTCTGGAAGTCAAAACATGCAAAACTGAAACAATAGTAAATAATTGACAATGATAGCAACACTTTACTCATAAATAAATCACAAATTTTATTCATCATCAAACGTCGATTACATTTTACAAGTTTCAGAAAAGGCTATCTAATCTGTAAAACTAATATCGTCCCTCAGCCCGATGCGCCTCGCATGCTGCAATGCTTCACCCTCGTCAGTCCCTTCGTAAGGGGATCCGCAAGGTTCTCATCTGACGATACCCTCTTTGCCACGATGAGTCCCTCTTCTATCTTGTGTCTTATGAAGTGATATTTTCTGTCAATGTGTCGGGATCTGCCATGATCTCTTGGTTCCTTGGCTAAGGCAACCGCACTATTGCTGTCACAGAAAATCTCCATATGCTCCCTAATAGCTGATTCAACTCCAAGGTCTCCGATGAAGTTCCTCAGCCATATCGCCTCCTTTGCCGCTTCACTCGCTGCTATGTACTCTGATTCACAAGTCGAATCAGCTACAGTCTCCTGTTTGGAACTCTTCCAAGTGATTGCCCCTCCATTTAAGGTAAAGACCCAGCCCGACTGAGAGCGGAAGTTATCCCTATCAGTCTGAAAGCTAGCATCACTATACCCTACTACTCTCAAGTCATCACTCCCACCAAGGGTAAGGATCCAATCCTTAGTCCTCCGCAGGTACTTGAGAATATTCTTTACCGCAGTCCAATGAGCCTTGCCGGGGTTCCCCTGATATCTGCTGACCATGCTCAAAGTGAAGGCCACATCAGGACGGGTACAAGTCATAGCATACATGATCGAACCAACAGCGGAAGCATAAGGTAATCGACTCATCTCAGCTATCTCATATTCGGTACTCGGGCTCTGAGCCTTGATCAGTTTGGCATTGCTTTGGATCGGTAATTCTCCTTTCTTGGAATTCTGCATGTTGAACCTTTTCAACACCTTATCCAAGTAGATACTCTGACTAAGTCCAATTAGTCTTTTACTCCTTTCTCTTAATATCCTTATCCCTAGGATATAGGCAGCTTCTCCAAGGTCCTTCATAGCAAAGCACTTCCCAAGCCAGGACTTAACCTCCTGCAAGGTTGGGATGTCATTTCCTATGAGTAGTATGTCATCCACATACAGTACCAAAAAGCTAACTATACTCCCACTAGCTCTGACATACACGCAAGACTCATCTTCACTTCTTGAGAAACCAAACTCTTTGACCTTCTCATCGAAACAAAGATTCCAACTTCGAGATGCTTGTTTCAATCCATAAATGGATTTCTCAAGCTTGCACACTCTATTGGGGTACTCTGCACTGACAAAACCCTCTGGCTGATTCATGTAAACATCCTCAGCCAACTTTCCGTTAAGGAAAGCGGTTTTGACATCCATTTGCCATATTTCATAATCATGAAATGCAGCAATGGCTAGCATAACCCTAATAGACTTAATCTTTGCTACTGGTGAAAAGGTTTCATCATAATCAATACCCTGAGTTTGAGTAAAACCCTTCGCGACCAGTCGAGCCTTATAAGTGTGCACCTTCCCATCCATGTCGATCTTCTTCTTGAAGATCCATTTGCACCCGACTGTCTT